CTTTCAATCAAAGTATGAAAGCGCGGATAAAATCCGATGTGTTCTTTTTAGACACCACAAAGTATCTATGTACATGATCAGCTCATGGAACAAGGGCCAAGATGTTGTGTTGAATCAAAGCTAATCTAAAATTTAGCTTTGGAATTCAAACAAACTTCTTTACTAGGTTATCCAAAGCCGCATAAAATAAATAAATTTATCTCAAAGTACACGACGAAGAGCGTGTATTTGATGGCATACCTGCACGGAGTAGATGATACTGATCTTTAGAGCACCTTGTGGAACGGTCATTACGACACGATTATCGACAAGGCTGGAGAGTTTTCCTCCTCCACGACTCAGCTCTGCGGTGTCCCTGCGAATTCGTGCGGCTGGAGCCAGAACGATCTCCGGTAGTTTTGAAAGCCGCACTTCGAGGTAGCGCGAGTCTTCGCCGGTGACATCCTGTGTAACGAGATCGTTCCAAGGAATGGGCTTTGGAGCAGCTTCCTTTTCGGCTTCAGGTTCACCGGCAGGGGCTGCCGCGCCATCCCCTTCGGGTTGCTTTTCCTAAAGTTGTGTGTACGGTCATATATGATCATCAAATACTAAAATATATTGCCAACAGAAGCAACGCTAGGAATCCCCAGATGTAAATGAGACTAACAAAACCCAGGTGCTCAGCTTCCTTAGCACCCACCCAATAACGCATAAACGTGGCTGTATTAGAGCACTATTCCAGAGGGTGAAGACACACTGCAGTGAACTGGAGGGACGAGTGCAAGAACTACGACATCTTCGGGATCAACTGGCCAGGAATGGATACCCGAACAGCTTCATCAGCCGCTGCCTCCGAATGCGCCCACAGGGAACAAACGAAAGGGAACCACCGACGCTCTGGCACCCTCTACCGTACATTATAAACGTGTCAGAAGCAACCGAGCGTATCGCTGCAAAGCTCGGCGTGGGTATTACTCATCGCTCGACAGCTACCATGCGTGCACGAGTCATGCAAATCAAATACCCACTAGATGTAAGTGAGCAGTCTGGCGATGTTTATCAGGTGCCATGTCGCGACTGTTCTTGCCATTATACAGGGCAGACCG